ACATGATTTACATTATTCGGACTATTGTCCTCATCTTTGTCGCCATATTTATTACAACGTTTCAGCCTTTCAGTATCTGTCTATATTTCTGGGATGAGGTATTATGTACACTATTTATATTATTCGGACTATTGTCCTCATCTTTGTCGCCATATTTATTACAACGTTTCGGCCTTTCAGTATCTGTCTATATTTCTGGGATGAGGTATTATGTACACTATTTACATTATTCGGACTATTGTCCTCATCTTTGTCGCCATATTTACTACAACGTTTCAGCCTTTCAGTATCTGTCTATATTTCTGGGATGAGGTATTATGTACACTATTTACATTATTCGGACTATTGTCCTCATCTTTGTCGCCATATTTATTACAACGTTTCGGCCTTTCAGTATCTATCTATATTTCTGAGATTTCTATTTACATTATTCGGACTGTGAGATGAGGATAAAAGAGAACAATTATAACAATAGACTGTAATAAAAGTTATGTGACAAATAGAAGATTCGTTCTTCGCGTAGATCTTATTAGCAACAATAAGAGATTAGCAACAATAACAAATAATAATACCCCGACGGACAAAATAAAGAGTTCGGTTCGCAATTCCAATCACCATAAGGCCGGAGCGTGAAACGGCCGAAACGTCGTGAATATGACAACAAAGATAAGGACAACAGTTTGAATAGTGTAAATAGTTACAATACCTAATCTCAGAAATACAGACAGAAAATAGAACAATTATAACGATATACAATTATAAAAGAAAAACGGGCTTAAGATTCGTTCCTACCGTAGATCTTAGTGAGGTTTGGTATGGATTTTCCTTTACTTCATTTAATTTAGAACATATATCTTCACTTAATGGAAACACTTTATCTTTTCTCTTTGATATAGCCGAATCGCAAGCATCACTTCTCATGTACTTTGGCGACCTTATTGAATAAAGCTTATGAATTATTTCCTGGTTGGACAGCGGGTAACTGAAATCGCGTAAAAAGAAACCTCAAATAAGGTAGCCTTCTACAGAGCGTGAAAAATGTGAATTATTCATTTTAAATATAATAAAACCCCTCCCATTCATTTTCATTTTAATAATAGTCTCAGATCAAATTGTAATATGTGTTATTTTCTATTTTTAATTTAAAGATACGTATTCAAAGGTTTTTCAGTTGGAAAATTAATGGAGATCTCGTAGCTTAGACTTTCGCTACATGACTGACGAGACAGATTTTTTCCCGCAGTAGCTGGCCATTTCTTTCTGCGGTAGACCAGTTGCCATCCAAGGCTATAGGACCCAGTTTGTCTTGCTATTTACCCATAGCTGGTGGGAGAAAAAGAAGATTCGTCTTTCCCAAGGGTAGTAGCACGTAAATGAATGTAATGGATTCAACTTGAATTCGAATTCGAACTCGGCTCTCCGATTCCTCAATCCGAGCAGCTATCCATTGCTCCACTGTTACTAGATATGAAGAGACTCGAGGCGACGGCTCTACAGAAGGATGCTAAGGATATCATGGACCGAGCGTTTGAGCAACCATGAGGTTTTGGAGATGATGAAAACAAGGAGGAGGTTACACTTAACATCAGGAAGAGGCAGCTAAAGTTCCTGGGATACATTATAAGGAAGGAGGGCCTGGAGAATCTGATACTCACGGGTCGAATAGAGGGAAAGTGAGACAATGGAAAACAACGCGTGACATGCCTAGCGGGCCTTAAGCAAATGGATGACAGAACTGACAGAACATGGTCTGGGGGATGTGGCAGAGGGAAGGAGAGCTACAAGAGATAGAGGGAGGTGGATAGCCATGATCGCCTACGTCCTGAAAGGACACGGCACATAGAAAGAAAAGATATGAAGTTCCCAGCTGAAAATGTAGGCTGTGCTCTCTCGTCTTAAATAGCAGCCAGTCTTGAGAATGATAATTTGAATATAAACCCTAAAGAAGTCAACGGGAAATCACTCCAATACCTTTTCCAAGAAGTCAGGGCAGCTCACAGAAAATTCTTTTTACTCTTGTTCCCCTTATACAAGGCTCAAGAGACACTCATAATAGAGGATTACTTTACGAGGTTGTTGGATTTAGATAACGGTTAAGCCTAGACTTGAAAAGGTTAAGATAGTAGTGATCGGGGAATTATCCTCTCTGGAGTCTGTTCCATAAAGTAGCGGTTCTTGGAAAGAAGCTATCCGAAAGGAACTTCTTCCTTACCAATGGAATACAAAGGAAATGAGGACGATTCGACCCCGTGTACTTGATATGGTGGGCCCTAGCTATGAAAGTCTTAAGTGGTGAATACAAGGAATGTATCTTGTCTGAATATTTGTAATGCTATAAAAAGGAATCCGAGGAGAGCCTTGATCGTCTACGTCCTCGTGATACTTAAAATTTGAAACACAGGCATATACACATAGATAGATAGATAGATAGATAGATAGATTCTCAAGTTTTTGGTGACTGTCAACTTTTGGCACGGCACGGTGTCCAGCACGCCCGTTACTATAAGTATGTTTTTAATCCTCAGATCTCGGTCAAGGTTCAGGTATTTTACTTTCTTTTTTTTCCTGCTGAGGTTTTCTTAGTCATGTACACGGATACCCAGTGAGAATCATAGTTTCGCTTCTAATAGTGATCTGATACATTGGCTTGATTGTTCTATAGAAGGCGAAGTTTAAATTAATCCTGAAATGGAAACTAGTGGGGATCGAACGCGAAACAGGCGTCCGTACGATATGGTAGACCATCTATTCTACGGACTTGAAAGGAGGAGGTGATCTTAGTCTGCGTCCTAGAGTGTCTCTCCCTCTCTCTCTTCTCTCTCTCTCTCTCTCCCTCTATCTTTCACGCACACACACACACATACACACACACACACACACACACACACATATATATATATATATATATATATATATATATATATATATATATATATATATATATATATATATATATATATATATATATATATATATATATATACATATATATGTATATATATATGTATATAAATATATACATATATATATATATAATTATTTAAAATATAAAATACTATAATAAGAGGCCAAAAAAAAAAAAATTTAAAAAGGGAGCCACTTAGAAAGGCGTAAACACCAAAAATGTGCTCGATGCAAGCTATAAAATATAAAATAAGATATAAAATGCAGAGCGAGATGCCTTGGAAAAAAATCTCTCACAACCACGCTACCCGGGTTTCGATCGCTAGATCTCCTCAGGCAGGTTGAAAAAGCTGTAGTATATTGACCTCCAGGACAAACTTCTAAAACTTCCTGGAACCTTCTAGAACTTGTTTTTGTTTATTTGTAAGTTTGTATGTTATGCTATAGTTATAAACTGTTAAATGTATTAAAAATAAATAAGTTCTCTCTAATTACATCATTAACAAATTGAAAGATAAAGCTTCTTAAATATTTTGTTTTTACTCTCATTGCGTGTATGCTAAAAACCGATTTTTCGGTTTAGAGGTGACCTTTTTCAAGAACTAAAACAAATTAATACATTAGTTTTTAACGATTTATGACACAGAAATATAGGGTTACAAAAAACTCATAAGCTTTATATATATATATATATATATATATATATATATATATATATATATATGCAACTTCGGTTACGAACGACTGACAAGGTGCCGTGTTTATTTTTTTTTATATTTGTTCATGTGATTTTTTTTCTTTTCAAGGCATAAATTATATAAAAATTGCCCGAATGTTTATATATACAAACGCCTTCAGCTATACTTATAACCATTACCAAGGATGAATTTTATTTTATTTTTAACTGAATATAAGGATTGTTTTATGTATGTATCTAGTGTTATAGGATTGCTTTATTTTCCAAACACATTGTGGCCGTGTTCATAGTTGATATTATTGAATGTTAGCTTTTTCTTTTTATTAATAATTCTTTCATTATCTTTAACCTTTTTATATATGGATGAGACTATTATATTTGTATTATCAACGAGTATGTGGTGGATAGAGTTTGGTAGGTCTCCATTTTTATTTAAATGAGACCTAATTGAGCTATGGTCAGAGAGATGTTCCAAATAGGTTTCGTCGTTAATTTTTCAGCATCCCTTGATAGATATTTATTGAGAGCCGATGAATTTCTGGGATTTATAAACTTAATGTTTTCAGCAACCAGAAATTCATATACTGATGTCCTTAAAGACACATGGCACAGTGGACAAAGGCGTTGGTTAGATCCAGTGACAGTGTGAGTTTAATACCTGGTTAAGGCAGTGGAGAACTTGAAGAGGTGAAGAGCCAATGAGAGGAACAGAGAGAGGAAGATAGCCAAAAAAGAAATAGAGAAATAAAGGAACACGGAAAGAAAAAGAGAGAGAATGTGTGTGTGTGTGTGTGTGTGTGTGTGTGTGTGTGTGTGTGTGTGTGTGTGTGTGTGTGTGTGTGTGTGTTGTGGAGATATCAATTTAATTTGTTTCGTCAGGCGACAAATGATGACGACAAGAAATTCCAAATTAGAAAACAATTCTACTAATTCCCTCTCTCCATCCCATGCGATCTCTACCTCACTCTCTTTCTTTCGTCTTCTCACTTTTTATCGTCTCCATCTCTCCTCCTCTTTCCTTTTCTCCCTTTCCTTCTCTCCCTCACGCTCTTTTTCTTTCCCTCTTTAATTTTCCCTACCCTTTTTCTTTATCTCCCTAACTCTCTTCAAGCACCCATACATTCTCAATCCCCGGCGCAAGAGAATCGATTCCATTTTCTGTCATACACATTCAACAGAGCCTTAGCAAGGCTTTAGGGCGTGTCATGGGCGTGTATAAGCGTTGGTAATACTACATGTCACTGTACAAAACAATATACACCTATTTATCACTATGTACACCCAGACGCAGATTCAAGCGTTGTAGGTCTGGATACCACTATTTCTTAGAATCCTGGATCCTCCATGACATTTGTATCTAAGTGTGAATGTTTGTATTTGCACATGCCTATCTTTTTAGGCAGTACATTCTTCAAAGAGATTTTTTAAAACATTTACTTAAGTCTGATAGATGACGTTGTCATCATATATAAACTGCAATACATATATATAGTTACCTCCACTAATTCGGTATTCATAAGGATTGAAATGAATTTTTAAAGATAAAAAAGATTTCTTGAAGTTTTCATTTTAGCTTTAATTGAAAGCTAAAGGATTTAAAATTTACTATTTCCAGTCAGCAAAATACTTTGTGGTGTATTTCAAACAGAAATTATATACATCGGAATCTTTTTTTTTTCAATAAAATCGATCAAACCGGCCATTTTTAAGACATTTGTAAAAAAAAGTTAATTCTCGATTTTAAAAATCTTGCAAAAATAAAATATATATTTCTGAAATGTTATTTAAGGAAAATTAGTAAACTTAAAGTTAAATTAACCTGATTTGAAACAAATATTACTTATAGCATAAAATGTTGCAAACAAACTTTTCTCATTTTTTAATGCGAACTGAGTGCGGGTGTTACACTGCAAATTAACCCCCGTCTTGCCGAAAATCTGTTTTGAGTCGAAAACTAAATTTAAAAAAACGCAATAAAAGTAAGATATTATTTAATTGGAGAAGATTTTGATTGCTTTTATGAATAATATATATTAAAGACAATATTATCCGAAGAAAAATATTTTCGACGAAAAATAAATTTTTACAAGTTTTGTTTTCATTTTTTTACAATCTTAAATTGAATAATTTATAAAGTTTTTAAATCTTTTAAAATTCATTTTCAATGTGATAATTCTTAGAAAATTAATGTCTATCACCTCAAAAAAAAGAGGCCAAAATTTACTATGCTAAAAGTTAGTACAACCGCTAACGCAAGAAAAACAAGTTTTATAATCAAAATTTCAATTGTTCTAAAAAGGAGTAACAAATTTAATTAAATTAGCAAAAGTACTCTAAACCTCCCTCTTAATAATAACATTCGAATATTCGAGAAATCTTGTTAAAAAAAATATACCCCCCTCAGGCAGGATTCGAACCTGCCTCCCCTACGGGAAACCCTCATTAGATCTGACGTGCCTATACCTATCAGCCACATAAGACCACCTCATCACGCCAAGCCTGAATAGTGCTTCTAAACAGAATTCCGATTGTCGAAATATACATATCTGCTCTGTTTCATGTCCTAACATAAACAAAGACAACTTATTAGAAATTAATTAAATCCGGCATATTTTTTATTAATTTGTTTAAACGTCAAATTTTAATGGTGTTATGGTGAAACACACCTATTCTATAGTTAATAGACTCTCCCACCTAATATAAGCAGGAGTAGTAAGAGAAACGAGGGTCAGTCGATGTCGGATGACAGTAGTCGACAGTTAGTCGAATACGAAAGTAGTCAGCGACCACAGCAAGATTTCTCTGCGTAATACCTATTATATCAAGTTCCTAACGTTTTGTACGTCGAACCTATTTTAGGAGCGATTATGTACAAATACAAGCCTCCACTGCGAAATCACTCTACAACAACATTGTCGACGAGGATTCGCACTCATTCGGATGATGATTCGAACCTACGTCCCGAAAGGAGTAACCGTCAGAAGATCTGACGTGACTCGACCACTTGATCAGGAGATCCTATGCAGCGGAGACGTCAAGATACGTAAAAAAAAAATGCGCTCTGCATTTTGCCTGATCGACATCACCTTTCGTGGCCGAATCGGTTAAAAACACGTCAGATCTAAAGTTTCTCCTGTTAAGGGGGACGTAATTTCGAATCTTGCCAGTGGTTGCATTTTTTTCTCGAACAGAATTCCTCGAATATTCCGCCTGGTAAACGTAAAGTTAAATATGGGTATCCACTAAAAATAACGTTTAAATTAATAAAAATATAAATAAATGAAAATCCACTACTTCTTTAGAGATTTGCTTTGTTTACGTTACGGACACGAAAGTGAGCAGTTATATATTAAAATAACGTTTAAAGTGATATATATATATATATATATATATATATATATATATATATATATATATATATATATATATATATACAATGAATCATTCATCCAAAAGTAGATTATTAAAGTTAATGATATAAAATGGCGAAATCCATTCGCTAACAAAATTTTAAAGGTGCATTAACATACAAAATTTTGTACAAAAAGTTTGTAGGTTAATGCAACATTAAAATTTTGTCTTCAATATGTGCAAGATGTACTCTGATGAGAAACTTTTTCTGGCATGACACAGTGAACCAACTATCCTTGCAGTAGATGCAGCTATTGATTCTATGTAGTGGCTCCACTTCAAGTCAGTTGAAAACATGAAGCCAAGAAGGCACAGTGTGTTGCTCTTCAGGAGTCTATCGCTAGCCATGCTGATGACAGGTAGAACTAATTGGCATGGATTCTTGATCGCTTTTGATGTGTTTATTATCGAGTGCTTCGTTGAATCAGTAGACTTAAAGGAGCAAAATCCATCGTTTATCGCTCAGGAGGTTGGTTCTATTGAGTCAA